CCCTGAATTTTGGGAATTCCCCACCTGGAATTTCAGCGATGCCCACCGGAACTGGGGCGTTTCCAGGATCTCGGAGCCAGGTGGGCTCACCTGAGCCCTTCCCAGGGGGATTTTGGGGCTCGGTGGTTTTGGGGACCCCCCTCCCAGGGTTTGGGATTTGGGGATTCCCGCGTGAATTCCCGAATTCTGGATATTCCACCATGGCCTGCACGCCGTTCTTGCGGAAGATGACGATTCTCTGCACGGGCCCGCAGGGGTTGCAGATGGTGTAGAGCACGTCCTGTGGGAATTGGGGGGTCAGGGGCGCCCCAAAAACCCAAACGGGGACCCAAAAAACAACCTGGGATCCCAAAAAACAACCTGGAACCCCAAACACCCACCTGAGATCCCAAACACCCACCTGAGATCCCAAAAAACAACCTGGGACCCCAAACACCCACCTGAGATCCCAAAAATCAACCTGGGACCCCAAACACCCACCTGAGGTCCTAAAAACCAACCTGAGATCCCAAAAACCAACCTGGGACCTCAAAAATACAGCCCAGGACTCCAAACACCAACCTGGGATCCCAAAAATCAACCTGGGACCCCAAACACCCACCTGGGATCCCAAACACCCCTCTGAGATCCCAAACACCCCCCTGAGATCCCAAAAAACAACCTGGGACCCCAAAAAGCAAGTCAGGACACTCCAGGTCACCGTGGTGATGGAGTAGATGGGGTTGAGGATGGTGAAGAGCAGCACGTTGGTGCTGACCCCAGTAAAGCCCAGTGAAGCCCAGTACAGCCCAGTACAGGCCAGTACAGCCCAGTAAAGCCCAGTACAGCCCAGTAAAGGCCAGTACAGCCCAGTACAGGCCAGCGAGCTCACCGTGGTGATGGAGTAGATGGGGTTGAGGATGGTGAAGAGCAGCACGTTGGTGCTGACCCCAGTAAAGCCCAGTACAGCCCAGTGAAGGCCAGTAAAGCCCAGTAAAGGCCAGTACAGCCCAGTACAGCCCAGTACAGGCCAGCGAGCTCACCGTGGTGATGGAGTAGATGGGGTTGAGGATGGTGAAGAGCAGCACGTTGTTGACGCCGCGGGCGTCCTCGCTGTCCCCGGGCCGTGAGATTTTCTGGCTGGTGGAGTAGTTGACGAAGGCCGGGTGCCCCGCGAAGTAGATCTGGTTGTCGGCCGCGTAGTTGACGGCGTTGCAGGCGCCCAGGATGTCCTCGAACTCCACCAGAGCCTGGCGCTTCTTGGGCATCACCACCACGTAGCTGGCACAGGGGACAGGGGCATTGTCACCGGGGTGGCACCGTCTTGTGGTGCCACCACCACGTAGCTGGCACAGGGACGCTGTCACCATCCCTTGGTGTCCCCACCCCGGTGTCCTCAAAGTGTCCCCAGCCTAGTGTTCCCCAGTGTCCCCAGAGTGTCCCCAGAGTGTCCCCAGCACATTGCCCTCAGTATCCCCAGTGTCCCCAATGTCCCCAGCACACTGGCCCCAATGTCCCCAGAGTGTCCCCATCCTGGTGTCTACAGCACACTGTCCCCGGTGTCCTCACTCTGGTGTCTCCACTGTCCCCAGAGCGTCCCCAGAGTGTCCCCAGAGTGTCCCCAATATCCCCAGCACACTGTCCCCAGTGTGCCCAGAGTGTCCCCAGAGTGTCCCCAGTGTCCCCAGCACACTGTCCCCAGTGTGCCCAGAGTGTCCCCAGTGTCCGCAGAGTGTCCCCAATGTCCCCAGCACACTGTCCCCACTGTCCCCAGTGTCCCCAGAGTGTCCCAAGTGTCCCCAGAGTGTCCCCACCTGATGGGCCCGAACTCCTGCAGCGCCTCCACCAGATCGGCCTCCACGATGCCATCGATGAGGCCGCGGATGTGAACCACGGGCGACGCCGGCGTCTTGTGGGGATCCTCGTAATTCTCCTGGGGGATGAGGGGACACCGAGGGCTTGGGAACACCCCAAAAGCCCCGCGGCTTTGGGGCCACACGACGAGAAAACCCCAAACTGTTTTGACTCCCCCCAAACTGGTTTGACCTCCCTAAAACGGGTTTGACCTCCCCCAAACGAGTTTGACCCTCACAAAAGGGTGTTTTGCACCCTAAATATTTGTCCCTGCTCCATATTTTCCCCCCTCAGCAATCCCCTCTACCACAGGAAATCTTTTAACCTCCCCTCAGCCCTTCCCGCCATTTTTGTCCCCTCAGAATCTCCCTCCCCACATTTTTCCCCTCAGAAAGATTTCTTTTCCTCCTTCAGCTCCTCTTCCTCTCATTTACCTCTCATGAGGGTCTCCTACGTGCCCTCAGCCCTTCCCGCCATATCTACACCTTTTTCCCCCACCTCTTTCCCTCACGGCTGCTGTTTTACCCCCCTCAACCCTTTCCGCCATATTTGCCCCCCTCAGAGCCTTCCTTTCCCCCTCAAGGGACGGTCCTGCCCCCCCTCCCCAGACGAAACCCCTTCTCCGCTTTCCTCCGCTCTCACCGATCCTCCTGCTCCGGCCCCTCCGCCCGCGCCCCCCGGCCCGCCGGGCCCGTGAGGCGGCGGCTCCGCGCCCTCGGTTTTCAGGCGTTTAGGAGCCCTCCCTCCCTCGCTGCCGCCACCGCCTCCGTAATATCGGCCCGAACCGCCGCCGCCGCCGCCGGCCGCCATCTTCCCCATGTCGGTTCCGCGTCCGCCGCCCTCGGCGCCCTGAGGGCCGCGCCACCGCCGCCGCGACATGGCGCCCCGCTCCGCCGTCCCGCCCACGACACCCCCCGCATTGGCCCGCCCACGCGTCAATCAAGGCTCTCCGTGCATCCCATTGGCTGACGCCGTGCCCTCCGCACCCGCGAGGCAGACCGCCGTTGCCATTTGCCCAGCCACAGATAAATTCCCGCGCCTATTGGTCCGCGGAGCTGTCCATCATCGCCTTCCTGAGAATACCATTGGTCGCCGGGCTCAGCGCTCCGCCCGCCCACCGCGCTGATTGGAGGCGTGGCTGCCAGTCAGGGCGAGGTCCCGCCTTTCTTGTCCAAGGCGCAGATCCCGCCTCCCTCTTCCCACAGAGCCCTTCGCTCGCAGTGGACGCGGCGTCGATCAACATCATCCGGCCATGATTGGTTCGTCTGGAGCCGCTCCGGCCTCTAATCTCGCCCACCGGGCCTGCCGCCCACTGATTGGCTGAGCTGCACGTCGATCAACGCTCACGCCCGCAGCTCCGCGTCCTGATTGGTCGATTTGCTCATGTTTTCGCTCGGGATTGGCCGGCGAGTGTGGGCCCCGCCCACGTAGTTCGCTCAGATGGTCCATTTCCCTCCCCTCCTGTTGCTGCAGGGGTAACTGGGAGGGTACTGGGGATAACTGGGAGGGCACTGGGGGTAACTGGGAGGGCACTGGGGGTAACTGGGAGCACTGGGCCTTCCTTCTCCCGCCCGCACGGGCGCGCACTGCATCCTCCTCCAATATCAACCTCGCCCCATCATTGGCCACACGCCCCTCAGCTCCAACCAATCACCGCGCTCCTCTCATTTCCACCCTTCTTTGCCACCTAATCAACTCAGCTCTTTCATTCCCGCCTCTGGCTGTGCTTCGACCAATCACCGCGCAGCGCGGGCGCTCTCAGCCAATCAGGAGGGCGGGGGCGGAGTTGTCCCGTGAGGGGGACGGAACCGCCCCCTCCCGAATTCGGCGCTCCCGGAGCCCCGTCAGGAACGAAACGGCCCCAAAATGGCCCAAAATTGTCCCAAAATAGCCCCAAAACGGCCCCGAACCCCCCCAAACTGCCTCACTCCGGATCCAGCGCTTTATTGAAACAACATTTTGGGGTCCATTTTTTGAGGAGGGGGGCTCAGCCCCCCCAATACTGCCCGAAAAGGGGGTGCGGAGGTGGGGGGGGGGGTCTCCAAATCCCCACATACCGGGGAGCCACCAAAAGAACCTTTGAAATTGTTAAAACTCCCAAAAATGCGGGGAAATGAGAGGTAAAAGGGGGATTGGGGGTGTTCAGGGGTGGTCCGCGGGGGTTTTGGGGTCCCCCTCTTTAAGACGCCTCCCAAAAACACAACAAAATAGAAGGGAAAACAGGAATAAAAGAGGATTTCGGGGGTCCCAGGGGTTTCAGACCCCCCAAGACCACTTTTAAATACATAACCACCCCCCAAAAAAAACCACTTAAAGCCCTTGAAACCCCCCCAAAAAATAAGGAGAAAAATAAAATAAGGAGACTAAACGGGGTTTTGGGGGGGGATCAATGTGTGAGGGGAGGCCCAAATCCCCTTCGAACAGTTCAACCCCCACCAAAAAAAAAAAAAAAAAAACACTTTAAAAAAAAAAAAAAAACACTTTAAACGTTCAAAAACCCGGAGAAACGCGGAAAAAAAAAACAGGAAAAAATGTGATTAAAGAGGAAATGGAGGGGCAAATTCAGTTTTTGTGCCCTCAGACGATCATCTCGAGCTGCCGGGCGTACTCGATCACCTGCGTGGCCAATTCTGTCGAGGGGATCGGGGGGTCCTCGGCCTTCTGCTGCCGCCCCCCAAAACTGTAATAGTTGGAGGGGCCCAGCACCCAACCCCGCTGGGATAAGGGGGGAAAGAAAGGGTTAAAAAGGGAAAAAAGAAAAAAAAAAAAAAAAAAAGGGGTTAAAGGGAAAAAAAAAAAGGGGTTTTAAAGGGGGTTCGGGGAACGATTTGTGGTGTTTAGGGGGGATTGGGGAAGGTTTGGGGAAAGGTTTAGGGGATATTTGGGGGTTTTGGGGCAGATATTGGGGGGTCTAGGTGGATTTGGGATGATACTGAAGGATTTGGTGGGATGGCAGGGTTTTAGAGGGGTTTGGGGCATTTCAGGTTGGTTGGGAAATGTTTTTGGGATATTTCAGGGTGGTTTTGGACAGTTTTTGGGGTATTCCAGGGTGTTTCAGGTCAGTTTTTGGGGTGTTTTCGGGGGTTCCCTGGTACCTTCTTGGCGTAGTCAGTCATTTTTGGGGTTGTTTTTGGGGTATTTCCAGTCAGTTTTTGGGGTGTTTTAGAGTGGTTTTAGGGTGGTTTTGGATGGTTTTAGGATGTTTTAGGGTGGTTTTAGGGTGGTTTAGGATGGTTTTGGGTGTTTTTGGGGTGTTTTAGAGTGGTTTTGGGGTGGTTTTGGGTGTTTTAGGATGGTTTTAGGATGTTTTAGGGTGGTTTTAGGGTGGTTTAGGATGGTTTTAGGGTGGTTTTGGGTGTTTTAGGATGGTTTTAGGATGGTTTTGGGGTGTTTTTGGGTGTTTTTGGGTACCTTCTTGGCGTAGTCGGTCATTTTGCGGGGCGAGCTGAAGAAGAGGATGCGCGCGGCCTCGGGGAACAGGATCCGCTCGTAGGCGGCCTCGATGCAGCCAGCGATCTCATCCCTGGGGTGGGGGCACACAGAGGGGGTTTGGGGGGGTCCTGAGGTGATTTCGGGGTGATTTCGGGGGATTTTGGGGTCCCACACCTGATGGTGTCCAGCAGGACGTCGATGAAGAAGGTGAAGCTGCGCCCAGGTGAGGGGTTTGGGGCAGTTTTGGGGATATTTCAGGGGGGATTTTGGGCTCAGGGGCATTTTGGGGTCCCACACCTGATGGTGTCCAGCAGGATGTCGATGAAGAAGGTGTAGCTCTCTGCTGGGATGTTGCCCTTGGCCAGGAACACTTTGTTGTAGCTGCCCTCCATCAGGTACTGGGGACAAAAATGGGGTAAAACACCCAAAAAAGGGATCAGAACTCCCACTCTGGGTGGAGTTCCTGCCCCAAATACCCCCCAGGACCCCCCAGACCCTTCTCAAACCCCTCAGGACCCCCCCAGGACCCCCCAAATCCCCCCCAGACCTGCTCCAGGGACACGGGGTGCCTGATGAACAGGTTGCCCTGGATGTCCAATCCCCCCAAATCCCCCCAGGACCCCCCAAATCCCCCCCAGACCTGCTCCAGGGACACGGGGTGCCTGATGAACAGGTTGCCCTGGATGTCGGGCGCCGGGAGCCGCTCCAGCTCCGTGTGGAACTCGGCCACGCGGTTCTGGGACAGCAGGAACAGCAGGTTCAGCCCCAGCAGCTGGTGCCGCGATGCTGACTCGGGCAGCTCCTCCCTGAGGGCGTTCCAGAATGTTCTGGGATCAGGAGAGCACCCAGAGACCCCCAAAACTCCCCCAGAGCCCCCCCCCGGGAACAGCAGCCGACTCGGGCAGCTCCTCCCTGAGGGCATTCCAGAATGTTCCAGAATGTTCCGGGGTGGGAGCGAGCACACAGAGCCCCCCAAAGCCCCCCCAGAGCCCCCAGACTCACTTGTAGTCGAAGTAGTAGCACTTGAGCTGTGCCATGTAGCGCTCAAAGGAGGGGATGTCCTTCCTCAGGATGCTCCACTGAGCCCCAATCTCCAGGATGTCCCCTGGGAACCGGGAATTTGGGGGGTCAGAGGGGATTTGGATGGGATTTGGGAAGGATTTGGGGGGCTTTGGGTGGGATTTGGGGGGATGTCCTTCCTCAGGATGCTCCACTGGGATAACGGGAATGGGGTTGGAAAAAAGTTTGGAGAGGTGTCAGAAATGTTTTGGAGTAGATTTAGGGGATTTGGGGGATTTGAGGAGAATTTTTTGGGAATTCAAGGAATTCGGGTTGGATTTAAAGAGAATTTTGTGGGAATTCGGGTTGGATTTGAGGAGAATTTTGTGGGAATTCGGGTTGGATTTAAGAAGAATTTTGTGGGAATTTGGGTTGGATTTGAGGAGAATTTTGTGGAAATCCCGGGAATGGGGATACTCTAGAGCCAGGGGGATTTTTGGGGAGACTCCTGGGGGGATTTTTGGAGGCGATTTTGGGACTTTTTGGGGCACTCACGGGCCAGGAGCAGCTGCTGCTTGGTCATGGAAGATCCTGAGGTCGGCAGGAAATTCAGGTCCAGCAGAGCGACCTGGGGAGAATTTGGGGGGTCCCAGAGGAATTTGGGGAATCCCGGGGGGGGTCTCGGTGTCCCCCCAGCCCTGATTCATCCAGTTAATTAATAGCTCAGGGGTAATTAGTGGTTTGGTGTTAATTGGTGTTTACAGCTCAGGCAGGAAATGACGGAAGGGGGGGTTGGGACACCCAAAAAATCCCGGGAATCCCCAAAAATCCGGGACCTCTCCCTCAGGGCCCAGCCCAGAGCCCCCTCCTCACACCCAGACCCCCCCCAGGGACCCCAAATTCGGCTTCAGCCCCGCCAAAATCTCCAAATTCCCCCCAGCACCCCCAAATCCCCTCAGCCTCCCCAAATTCCCACAGACCTCCAAATCCCCTCAGCCTCCCCAAATTCCCCCAGACCCCCAAATCCCCCCAACCTCCCCAAATCCCCTCAGTCCCTCCCCAACTCCGCCGCCCTCACCTTGAGCCTGCCCAGGGCCTCCCCGCACTTGGCCAGGTTGGGGCTTTTTCGGCCCCACTCGCCTTTGAGCTGCTCGTAGAGCCCGGCCGCGGCTCTGAGGCCGCCCCCGGTGCCCCCGGGCCCCGCCGGGCCCCCCAGGCCCAGCCCCGGGCCCGTCCCGGCCGCGGCCCCGGCCCCGTTCGGCACCGCCATGACTGCGCGGCAACGCGACACTGCCGCACACCGTGCGCGCTTTGCGGCCGTCGCCGC